TCTCGGAAGCCGTACTCTTCGGCCAGATGGATCTTTTCAGTCACTGAACACGGACAAAGCGCTTGTGATGGAGTATAGGTCGTGTTTTTAAACACCACGCAATGCTCACCAATTGAGGTCTTCGATCAACTCAACGATTTTCACCGCTAAAGACTTTGTGGAAGTGCTACGTGAAAAAGTAGCAAATGCCTGCATGTTCTACCTGTCTGCGGAACGGGTTCGAGAGCTTCGTGCATTGAAGCAAGCAGAGTGGGCCACCGTAACACCTGCGAGAGGAATCTAGGTATCTCATCAATATGCCGAGAGGCCGGATGTATAGATGGCCACTTGCGCAACTGAGAGTTTTAAGCTTATGTGCGCATAGTTAGCAAGTTTGCAGAGTGCGGCCGTTTTGTTTTTGTGAATTGTAAGCTAATTAATGGTATTCCAGCTCAAAGTCCCTTTTCGCGTCAGTTATACTCACCCCTTTTGAAAAAAAAAAAATAATAAATATAAAATACATGCCAAACCTAACGCTTAAAATGTTTGAAAAGTCGCTATGACGAAGACGTCGGTTCGCTCCGAGTGAAGGTTTGTCGTAGCTTTCCCCGTTTGGAGGTCATATGTTACTCAATGTTTTGCCATCACAGGTTAGTTCAAGTCACTGCAAAGTGCCAAGCGGAGTTTAAAAAATATAAAAGATTAAGTTTTTTTTTTTAAATATTAACGCCCAATCTTACCACAATTTGAGAAATCAGCTGCGTTTCCGCGTTAAGACAAAAAGAAAATTAGTGGTGGGCATATACGTTTTACATAGTCGTAAAGAAAATTTAAAACGCGCATTTTGATATGTTTTGTGAAGTATTATGAAAGATGGTTTATTTGCAAAAAAAATGTGAATATGTCTCTAAAACGCGTTTTTGTGCCATGTTTGATTTTTTTGTTGGCATAGAAATATTTTATTCATATTTTTCATCTTTTTGTGTATGTGTTGTATATTTTTTTGTAAAATGTATTAAAAAAGTTATGGTGACCCGAAAGTTTCGATTAGGAAATGACGACTGTGCAAAGTAGCATCGTGAACTCTTCTCAATTTCCACGCCTCGAGCTTCTCCATTTTATATTCTAGCGAAAACAAATGGTACGGCGTTCATATATAGCTGAATGTTCCTCCCAAGAACATAGATTTCATATAGATTTTTAACAAAACTATCAAAATTATGACCGGGACAGCAATTGCATGAACTGACGTGGAATCACCCCATAGTGATATCTCACCGATTAAGTTTGGCTCGAAAAGTAGCTATGTTATTTTAAAGTATTCACATAGTTTTTACTTTTCTGTGTTCATTTGACTTGTTTCCTTTTTATTTTTTGCTTCCCAGCTTGATATAATATACAACAATTTTGCCACTAGGCAGCAGGTGCGAGTTCTTTCTTGGATGCATCTCGGCTGTGCGAGCTCTCGATCAGCGGGACAAACTGCCAAAAATAAGGCTACGAGTCGGGGATTCTCGCCATAAAAAATATCACCATTAAAATACAGGTATTTCTTCAGCGTGTTTTAATAAAAATCGTCACGAATGCACGCCCTGTCAAATTAACTGATTATATTTTAGATACCTGTTGAGCTTGGTTAATTCCTGAGTGAATTTAACGGGTACGACAGCGTACCTGCTCTCTTGTTCTATTAAAAGAAACAGCACGCTGGCGGGGCGGTGTCATTTTTATTATTGCGATCACATCAGGTCAGGGCCCAAAGTAGTCATATAAATTAATCAAAACTAAAGATGTCACTAAAAAGCTGAGTTTACAAAAAACACAGAGCACTAAGTCTCTTCGCTTTATAGCCCCCCCCCCCCCCCCCCCCCCCCGGTCTAGTGTTGGCCCTCGGCCCTTCTAGTGTGGCCTCTCTGGCCCCCACTCTCCAATGAGTTTGAAACCACTGCTCTACAGAGAAGACGACAGCTTTCGTACCTTCGTTGGGATGCTCAACGCCCTCGCCTTCCTGCCACCCGAAGACGTCAAGGGTGGCATGCATGTCTTGAAGGGGATGATGCCAGAAGCCACAGGAGAACTTCTAGACTATTTTGACATAACCTATGTTACCGGAAGGTATCGGCCAGTAAATCGAGCGAAAGGCGTCGTCAGCCTGCAAAGAACGGCACCAAGCTATCATCCCACCACTTGGAATGCCCATTCGGCGACGGCAGATGGAGGTCACAGGACCAACAACTACTCTGAAGCATGGAACCGGAGATTTGGAAGCGTGTTCGGCCACAGCCACCCAACAGTATGGAAAGCTATCGACGCCTTGCGCTCGGAGGAATCGACCATGACCATGAAGATTGCCCAGGATCGAGTCAGTGCTCCTCCCAAGAAGAGGTGCAAGTCCACACTCGTCGAAACGCAAAGCCGTCTTCACAGCCTCTGCGAAAGGTACGCCGCTGAGGCAATCGGAATTGAAGATTTGAAGTGTGCCGTCGCCGTACGATCCGTTTTTGCCTTTTCTTCGTGAATCTAGAGTGTGTCATTTCATTCCTGATTTTGTAACATCGCATCTTAACTGTTTTTTTTTTTTTTTTTCATTGTGAAATAAACATCTACAACACTTCTAGCCAAAATCAAATGATTGTGTTTGAGGAAATTTGAGAAGTACCTGTGTACCATTTCCGAATAGGTAAAAAACGCGACAGTGATAGCACAAACAAGCGATCGTTAGTTTTTTTTTTTTTTTTTTTTTTTTATAGAAACGAAAGGTTTGTCATCGAAGTTATTATAGGAAATGAAAGTGCTCATTTCGGGATATGATGCAGGTGGTAAAATATTGTTCCCAATAATAATCTTTCTAAGTAAAATGTGAAAATACGCCGATGTCGTGTTCGCGCTAACAATATCGCGATGTGTACCTCGGGGAATCGTATATTTCCTTAGTTGTTGGGGCCGTTTTCTCCTACTTGCCACACGATGCCTTTTTTCACGAGGACATTTGACCGGACCACCCGAAGGCCATGAGGATAACGGAAACCCAGAGATAGAGGATTCTTTGGGGACAGTTTTTCCTACTTTCCACCTGGGGCCTTTTCTCCGGAGCATTTTGAACTGGGACTTTTTATCCGGGGACATCTTTTTAGGGACATTTTCTCCAGGAAATTTTTTTTCCTACACCCCCAAATCTTCAAGTGTTAACGGAATCTGTTCAGTGCTATTCACAGTGTTCCAGAATAATTTTGGATTATTAATCAGCATAGATGGTAAAGTAGGATTAATAAATTAATCTGACATCCTTAAAGGGCCCCTGGAAAGAAAAAAAAATTTTTAACAGCTTAATCAAGATACGCGTGTCAAAAAAAAAAAAAAAGATTACGCGAAAAAAAATTTTTAGAACAATATTGACGGCGCGAAACGCGATTTATTCAGTAGTCACCTCCTTTCCAGTTGCTTTCTCTCGGCATTTCGGGTGCGTGGAGGAGAGCTGAATCGGCTTGGCCATCTCGTTGAGGTGGAAATAGTGCATGACCATTCTGTGACGACGTGAGCTTTGTGCGCAGAATTGAAAATAAATTGCACGCCGTCAATATTGCTATAAAAATATATTTTCCGCGTAAAATTTCTCGACACACGTGTCCCAACAAGACTGTTTAAACAAAATCTTTTTTTTTTCTTTTCAAGGGCACTTTAACCGGTATTTTATAAGCGCTAGCTGCGAAGGAATAGGCATTCAAACGCTGCTGAATTTCGGATAACTTGGCCGAGCCAAACAAGCGTTTCTCATTGTTTGATAACCGTTTAAGAAGTAAGGTAATACCACGGTGATTGACCGTTAGATATGATAGTTCCTATTAATGTAACAGCGTCAATAAGATCGCCTACTTTGCATATGAACAAATTCGAATTTTCATTTAAGAAGCGATCCGAAAAATTTTGTCGTTTAAAAGCGATACAGCTCGCGATCACTTTTCAGAAAGTTTGCTTTCTTATAATCTCTTATACTTTACTCATTGGCAACTCTACGGCGTACCGGAACATCTTATTGGCGAAAGCAGGACGTATCGGAACATTGAGAAAAAAAAAAATGAAAGCCGTTTACAATTCCCTGTAACGCCGGTTAGAGCGCAGCTCTTGAGGAGGAAGATGGAAGCGTACTGAGGGATAGGTGACTCCTTGAGGTCACGTGACCTAAGGGGGCTCGCGTGACGTCAGAGGGGTCACGTGACATCGGGGGTCGCGTGACTTCAGGGGGTCAGTGAACTCGGGGCAAGGGCGTCACGTGACCTCAGGGGGGTCACCTGGCCTCAGTGGGGTCACGTGGCCTCAGGGGGTCACGTGATCTGAGGCGGGTCACGTGACCCGAGGGGGACACGTGACCTCAAGGGGGTCACGTGGCCTAGGGGGTCACGTGACCTAAGGGGGTCACGTGACGTCGGGAGGTCACGTGACCGCGGGGGGTCACGTGACCTCGCGGTTACGCCGACGGCGACGGCGACGCCGCTCAAGCCGGAAACGGGCCCCTAAGAGCTGCGCTCTAAAACACTTTGCTCCTCAGTTGGTTTCTTCTATTACGAATCATTTTCATCCCAATATTTTGTGTGAAATAACCACGATCACAGGTTCGAGTGGGATTGGGATTCTTCCGCAACTGACAGATACATTGATAACAAAACATGTTTTGTATTTAAATAGGCTTTTACGCACCACTCTTATTTTATTCTTTCGTGCACTGATTTCTGGCTGACCCACACCGAAACATTGTTAGCATAAGCTTCGTCAAGTTTTGTCATATTTTCCCTTTCCCTGTTCTAACAAACAAAAATTCAATGAAATCTAGTTTAAAATGCACTTAAACACACAAATATTTATTCTACAAGGCTTCTATAATTTTTGCCAGATAAAAGATAGTTGGTTCGAACACCGTAATTATTGTATTCTATATCGTTTCTACATCTACCTAATTGTACGTACGTGTATGAGCGCATTATATTTTTGCCCGTACAAACGTGATCTTTTTTTATTGTTTCTAGTTACAACAATCAGTGGATGGTTCTTGACTACAAACTTTTCGATCCCACGTCTAAAAAACTTCCAAAGAACTTGCTGTGGATTCTTGAGCAGATGCCGTAAGCTGCAACTTATTTTATTCTGAGTTCAGTTAGGGGTATTATAACGTTTCTTTGCTGTCGTACGTTCAGGAAATTTGTTTAATTTTTATATGGGAAGAAAGATGTAATTTGCCTAGCTAAGCTTCTGGTCTACATGCTTCAAATTCCTATAAAGAGGATGCGGTGGAAGGTCATAGGAGAATGCAATAAAAACGACAAATTGGCTTGGCATCACAGTAAATCAGCATTTGCGAGGGTCGCTTCGAAAGCAACTCTTATTTATTTTCTTAAAACCTACAACAGACAAAAGCCGCGCGACGACATCTAATCATACATCACGTTGACAGCTACAGCACCCTATTTTGGAGTTTTCTTAACTGGCTATTCATTTTCACCAGTGATGATCAAGAGCCTCCAAGCCGCGCCGGTAAAAATGTGGACCCACGGAAGTGGCCTACTGGCTCACAACGCTCAGGATGGCATAGTTGCTAGGAAAATCTTCCCCTCGCAGTCCATCTGTCATTGCTTTAAGCAGAGTGAAGACAGAAGGTGCCAGTGAGGTAGGAAAGCCCAGCCAAGATTGAAAATGTGCTGAACTGTCTTATAATCAGTATGGGGCCGGTTATCGTTTTTCTAGAGAAATGGTTCCTTCTTTTTCTTACCTGACTATAGCAATTCTCACCTTTAACTTAGTCAAGGTTCCGATGTAGTGTCCAAACTTGGTTTCTCTGGATTTCAAAAAACTTAGAAGGATCACACTTTCCCTGTCTCAAAAGACAGTGCACACCACTCCATCTGCTGAGGGCTCCGTCTCGGACTTTTTCTGCGCTGGTAAATTCACCAATCGCCACAGCAAACAGTGCCGTTTTGACTCGGGCTCGTCGTGTTCAGACCACGTTTCATCATCGGTGATGATGCCATCCAGAAAAGTGTTACCTTTAGCATCGTATAGTAGATTCGGTAGATTCCAGCAAACTCGCACACGGTGCTCTTTCTGTTCATATGTGCAAATTAGGGGACTCTGCTGGCGCAAACTTTGCGATGTTGCAATGTTGTCAACATTGTTTCCAATGCATTGAAGTAGATATCTAGCTGCATACAAAGTTCTCTGTTCGTGACCCGCCAATTTGTGCAAAAGAGCCACTCGAGACGATCTTCATTTTGCGGTGTCACAGCTGTTCACGACCGTCCTGAATCTGGCTTTCCTTGCTGTGGCCAGCCCTAAAATGTACCGCCCATCACCTCACAGGGCTTATATATCTTCGGTTACAAATCCGTAATCGTTCCGCAAGCGTTGGTGAACGTCAATGGTTTCAATTTGTTCCGTATGTGTGAATTCATTTAAGTACCTTTGCTACACACGCACATGTCAGCAAAATTACCTGAATATTGGCGATATGGTTGAAGATATACTGCCATAGGCTACCAACATACGCTGTGGCCGGGCCGACATAATAAAATAGGATGCATCACTTTCGGAGCGATCCTCGTACAATAAGACTCCCTTCATGTAATAAGTTTAAGTAATTTCTATACAAGCTTCCACAAGTCTGAAACACGTTTGGAGCATGCATATGCAATACGTCACATCACGTTGTGAACCTAATCACATCCTCTTAAAACACAAGCTTTAGATTGAGGAAAGAAGTTTTTTTTTAATACGGAATGTATTTTTTTAGCCCAATTTTATGAAAAAAATAACGTCACAAAAAACCGTTATATCAATTTTCCTGCTAAATTTAGCGAGGAAATTGGCGTGACCACGTCGTGCGACCTCGGGTCGCGTGACGTCAAGTTCTGCGAGGTGGCTCTGCGAGATGGCAGTTTGCACTCAACAGATTTTGTGCTCCCCACTCTCTGTCAGTATGATCAAGGTTGTGTATTTTTTCTTTATAACACCAGGGGATACACCATGTCGAAAGATGTTACATCTGTGTTACAGAAGCAGGGGTACTGGGCAAGCTACAACTCTCCGTGAGTAGGTCTTCTATCCTCATAGCAACATTTCTATGCGTCTTAGCCCAAAACAATGTATACACATATACTTGTTTTCCACACAGGTACTTTCAGGAAATCATCGACAAAAGCGGCTTCCCTGCCTTGGTAAAGAAATACGGGGACTGGTACTCTTACGCCAAGACTCCGCGAGCCCTTATCTTTAAGAGGGACCAGAAGAAGGCGGTAGACATCTCTTCAGTTATGAAGCTCCTAAGGTGCGCAGGTGCACGGCGTCGTGAAATGAACCGCAAGTCTGTACTCACTAACACCTTAAAATACATATGCAAAAGAAAACAAATTTACTACAGCCTGGGTTTAAAAAGGATGTCACAAAATAAATTCACAACGAAAAAAAAAAATTGGGAGCTTTGTTTACGGCGCGAAATGAATTTGCAGTTTGCGCCCGCGGCAGCCCGCGGAAAAGCGGCCGCTCCAGTCACGTGACTGGCCGCTGTAGTCACGTGGTGCTTGCACTTTTTCGGGAGCTTCCTATGGGCTTTAAAAGTTGCTTATTAATCTTCGTTTTAAGTGCAACAAAAAAAACCTAAAGATTAACAAGTAACTTTTAGAGCACATTGGAAGCTCCATAAAGAGCGCAAGTACCACGTGATAAACCGGTGCGCCAGTCAGAAATTCATGGCGGCGGCGCGCTGGAGTGTTCTCTTTTATTCTCTTCTGGCGGCTACGTGAAGAAACGCGTTCAGCCGGCGGCGCACCACGCTCGTGGTGCGCCGGCGGCGTGGGGGACTTCAGCGGCCTTAAACGGCTCCACTTGCGGCTGCGGCGGCGCCGCAGAGCGGCTGCTCACGGTTCTACCACGTGACCAGTGACGGCTCCCGCGAGCGGCAACTACAAATTCGTTTCGCGCCGTAAATATAGCTGTAATTCTTTTTTTTTTTTTTTCGTTTTGAATTTATTGTAGGACACCCTTTTCTTAAAGTCACTGGATCTGGGAAAGTAGCGCCATTGCCTTCCCACGTGCCAGCAGGACATAAATAAATACCAACATACAGGCTACGAAACCTATCAAGGTGATTGGCCCATCGCTGTCGGTTCCCATGAGGATCGCCATTTTAAACCCTTTCAAAGCTTCGAAGATGTACGGTTGTGATGCCGTACATCTTCGTACCGCCATCATACAAAACGCCAATGCTTGGAGGCACTGAAAAAAAATGTACTGCTTTAAAACACGCAAGAAGAGGAACATAACTGTAAGAGATCAGGGGAAATAAGCATGAGTAATATGTTTATTGCATGCACGGTGCCACAAATGCTCATATTGACCGAGGAACGCTTTCATTACGATCATGCTCCATAGCGATCTTGGTTCGACTGGTTTTAACGACCCTTTTGAAGTTTCGAAGCTATGAAAGGGTCCAAATTGGCGATCACCATGGCAACCGACAGCGATGAGCCAATCACCTTGAGAGGTTTTCTCTTCTCTATGTTGGTATTTGCTTATGTCCGGTTAACAGGTGGGAAGGCAATGGTGCTACTTTCCCAAATCCAGTGACTTTACCTTTTCTCATCCACTCTGATTAAAAAAAAAAACTTTTCTTCGCATGTTTTTTTTTTTCTTTATTTTTTTTTTTAAGAAACGCAGTGCGTGGAGACTCTCGAGCATCTCATTATCGATCCGTAACCGATAAGGTTCCTGCATTAGCCGATAGGAATGCCGAAGAACCAATCACAAGGCGAGAAGCGGAGACTCAAAGAAGCCAGGCCCCGCACTTTCTTAAGCAGTCGGTGACTGTAACCGTAGAGTTAGCGTCGCATTTCAGGCTTGTTTATGCGGAGCGCAAGCTCGTCTGCTTCTTTTGCAGGGGTTCGGGGGACGTCAAAACGCCGGGGTCTGATTGGTTGTGATTGAAGGACATAGGTATACCCTAAGGCAGCTTGCTCTGAGGTCTACCCACTAAATTTCAATCAGAGCCAATCAGAGCTCGGCGTTCTGACGTCACCACAGCCCCTGCAGAAGAAGCAGATGAACTTTCGCTCGGCATAGACGACGCGCCGCGGATCTCGAGCACGTCTCCCCATACGTCATCGCCACTGTGTCGCAGCAGGCTCCCAACATGGACACTTCGAAGAACAGCACCAATTAGTAAAAAACTTTATTAATTTTGAGGTTTGTAAAATCCAATCTATTAACATCGACGTGGAGACGGATCACCCCAGTCTATCCAGTTTACTAACGGAGTGAGTTAGCCTTTTTTTTTCTTTTAGCTTACTCTCGCAAGTGTTGTTACTTCATCTGGTAGGCGTCTCCGACTGGTGTGTTTGGCGTCCTATCCCACCTATACATAAAAATGTGGTCCCGAAGTGTCCACAAATGACGTCACAGAAGACGACGTGTCACGTTGACGGATGTCGCGATCCTGGTGGTTGGTGCTACAAGTCCCGAGAAGAAGTCTGAGCGAACGCGATTGTCGCTGTCATCGCGTATAGTAATCTCCCGTGGAATGTCAAGGTGGAGAGCGAACTGCTGCAGAGCCGGCGTCCACCACATCAAACAGCGCTGCTGTACACACCTTCAGAGTCGTGGCCAGCGGCGACACTTCTATGATGTCATCAGGCGGAAATCGAAGGACTACATTTTAGAAGGCGTTAAACACACCAGTGGCTAATGCGTTCCAGGCACCATAGTATCGTGTTTTTCCCGTCCCTTATTCGACTAAGAGTTGGAAGTAAAAGAACAATTCGGATCCTGAAAAATGTGGCCCCGGAATGAATTAACTTAAGTGCATGCAAAGTGTTAAAACAAAAATTTCCTACGATGTTCTACTTTAAATTTGTATTGAATGTGCTTCGTTTTGTCAAGCATTTATTATTAAAACTACATTTGATTTAGTTTATTAATAATTAAAGAATTGACTTGGTACGGTGAAATTTATTACCACTTATCCAGTTCTTAACAACCACTTTTTTATATAAACTTGAAGGTGTTAAGCACTAAACTTTAGAACACTAAATACTACTGTGTAACATCCGCTCGGTCTTTTGGCCTCAAACGAAGCTCGCATATGTTGACTTTAAAATTAATTCATTACAATGACTTTGTTCTCGACGTCACAAGATTTATACCCATAATCTCACCTCGTTTCTTCGACTGTGAATATTTCTACTGGCGGCTTGATTCAGATTGACGTGATAAGTTTCAAACTACAGCTTATCATTGCTGGCGACGCCACGCTAGAAAGCTAGTACTTGTATTTTGGTAGTAAAATTGGCACCAGAACACAAATCACTGCAGAAGAAGTCGAGTAAGAACTTACACTTTCCTATTCACACATCAATAGGGTTGTGAAATTGTTTCACGTCAATCAATTTCTTTCCGCTGAACCAAGTTATGAAATTTGACTCTAAAAATTGTCGTTTATCTCAGCGATGAGGCACACGCAACATAATGTTTTAACTAGAAAAAGGGACGGGGCAGGTTTCAGTCCTATTAAATACTCTCCTAGAAGAATAATTTTGCTGCCCTCATTTTTATTAGACAGAGCGCGTGTGCGTACAGCGCCAAACTCTTCCCCAGCGGTCTGGAAGCCCCAGGTTTTCGCACTGCTCCGATGAGGAGGGCTGCCGCTGGCGCGCCGAGGTACCAGACTCGGCAAGAAAGCAGAGACAACTGTCTCCGCTGTCACGACGGGTTGCCAGGACGATATATCGCGGCAGCCACTCCTCAAACTTAAAAAAAAAAAACACAATAAACCCGAGGCTCCGCACGTCCAGCCGTTCCAAGCATGCAAAACCTGTTGGCGCCAAGTTCTTTGTATTTTCGTGGTGAAAGATGCATTCAGTCTTATCATCGGTATTTCAAAGCACGGGCACTCATATCTGAAATAGTGGGACGAGGTTTGCGTGGGATACATCAGTGTACGACAAATATCGGCCATATCTGTTTTTCTGCCTTACACTTGCGATAGTGTATTCCGGGACCATTTATCCCAGGATCATGTTTGTTCTTGCACCATTCGTTTCGTTTCTTCACCTGCCATGCAATCGGCTAATAAAACTGGTTTTAAAAAAAGCACGCCGATAGAGGCCAACTCGTGCCAAGTTGCACGCTAAACCTGAGACTTAATCCTCTTGTTTACCATTCTCATGTGTGCCATGCATTTAAGTCTTTTTTACAGATATCACTAAGTATATGTTCCAATGGAACGTAGTTTCAGCATTGTCAACTGCATTTTTTGTAGGTACAACGACTTCGTGAACGACCCATTGTCTCGGTGCACCAGCTGCGATCCCCCGCACAACGCGGCAAACGCCATTTCAGCCAGAGGCGATCTGAACCCAGCCAACGGCACCTACCCGTTCAAAGCCCTGAGTCATCTAGCTTATGGAGGAACCGACGCTAAGGTTAGGGTTTTCAGCGAGCCTTCGCGACGAAAGCACACCTATAGCGCCGATATCAGCTTCGCCCCTACAAAATTAATTACCATGTTTAGAATTTTCCACGGCAAAACTTAGCAATTCCGAGATTCTTGGCGCGCATAGCCCTCAAGAAGTTCCGCAAGGCGGTGTTAATTCAGAGCCGGAATCAGCATCTCGAAGGTGAAATGTGTGCATGCAGTGCGGAGTTCGTATTCTCGTTAAGGGGTAACTCCACTATGAAGTCGAACCATAATGAATTACTGATATGGCTTGAGGAGACAAAATACGCTGGTAAGCAATCCTGGGCGATCGTGGTGACTCGCTGCTTGCTCAGGGGGACTGGCGTCGTCGTGCATTGCCGGGGGCATACTTTGCTATGTTGTGTGTTGCGCACACAACCCGCTTTGTATTAACCAGTAAAATTTGTTATGAGCAGAGAAAAAAAAAAGCCATTGAACTCTGCACCACACTGAACGCTCCTAATGTTCGCGTCATCACTACCCTTGGTTCTAGTTTAAACAGCAGGCTTAAGCGTGTTTCATGTGCAGCGGTTTCAGCCCTAGAGCGGCGCGATTTCTGCCGTCGCGGCGCTCCGGCCAGCCGGTTGAGCGGCACGAGCGCCGCGACAGCAGATATCGCGCCGCTCTAGGGCCAAAATCGCTGCATGTGAAACATGCTTTAGACACTCGAAAATAATTGCTCCTGGCAGGGCTGCGAAAATGACACTGTACTGCACGTGACGCGCGAATATATCCTGTACACCCCAAATTCGACACATCTATCTCCAAACTACCATGCGATCGTGACGGCATCGTCCTCCCACTAGTAAAGCAAAGCATTTGTACACGATCTATGAAACGTCCCTTAATTCGTTCCATGAGAGAATCAGAAATTTTGTTCTGTGGATATCAGACCCTAAAATTTCGGCACCAAACACTTACTTTTTTTTCTATTAGTTTTTAGCCCCCAGTTCGCTTATCAGCCGGTAACCTTATTACTTAATATTTGCTACAGATGTTGACTAGATAAAATGCAGAGCAGTAGGACAGTCGTATTTTCTTCCCTGACTTATTGGAATCATCACTGCGACTGGTGCAGCCATATGTCTCGCTGTACCGCGGTACTACCCTGACATCAACCTAGATTATTGTATTAGATTAAGGCGGCTGAAAACTTTGTGTCCCGTGAAGACGGTCTGAAAATCTAAATCCAACAAAAAAGAAATATATTTCGGCCACTCCTCCCTCTTCGATAATAACTGTAACCGCATGTTGGGATATTGCCACGCGCGTCGCCGAGCCAGCGCGTGCGTGGTCGAAAGGTTAGCGTGCTTGACTGTCGCGCAGAAGATCTGGGTTCGATTCCTGGCAGCGAAATGGTCTTTCATTTATTCTTTCTGCTTGGCGTTCTCGAAAGTTCGAAAACTTTCTTGTCTGATCGAGTTGCGAATTTTCTACGCGCCGAACGTTCTAGGCCGAATGCTCCGGAGACCCACGCGGCTAAAAAATGTGCTCCCCTTGGCGAGCCGCAGTCAGCCTCACACTAGCGCTCGATCTTGCTGTTTCGCCGACATCGACGCCTGCGACGCTAGCCTTTCTCTCTTTTCTTTTGGGCACGAGTTCATCCCCCTTAAACGTTTACTTTCTTCAGTTATTCGCCACCTCATCATTTGTCATTCGTGGCATTTTGGCGGAGGTGCGGGGCATTGCATTCTATGCCCGTAAAGCGTACCCCTGCGAAGGCACCCCGGCCAGCGACATGCTCAGCCACGGAAGGCTACCCTACGCCGAAGCCCGAACAAGCCGTCGTATTAGAGGTCAGTCCCCCGAACTTAGTCTCTTGTCCGAGAATCGGAAGCAGAAGATCCCGATTATGACCAGTCGTCCTCCTGCCAGTCGCTCCGCGGACACCTGCTCCTTTTCTCGGCAAGATCTAGGAGGACATCGAAGACTGAATCCACCAGTACGACCGCGTGGCCCACGACAACGGGTGGAGTGACGAGCAGCGCCTGCATAACCTCTATTTCTCGCTTGAAGATACTGCAAGGCGCTGGTTTGAAAACCACGAAGCCGCCCTCAACTCGTGAGACCTTTGCAAAAATGAGCTGACGCGTACCTTCGCAGTCAACACCGAAGAGAGACGGCCGAAGGTCTGCTACAATCGAGGACCCAGCGCCCTAATGAGAGCGTCACGAGCTTCGTAGAAGCGTCCTACGCCTGTGCCCGCGCTGACCCTAGCTATGGCCAACGAGAAAAAGAAGCTGCGCGTCCTGCTGAGGGGCGTAAAAAGCGAAATCTTCGGCGGCCTTGTTCGTCATTTCCCGACGACAGTAGATCAATTCGTCGCTGATGCCACGAACATGGAGCGGCTTTGCAAGCATGGTCGAACCACTACAATCGACTCGTCAGCTTTCATGCTGCTTCGGCGATTGCATCGCCGCCACTTGACCTGGGCACCCTCGGTGTCGACAACCTACGCCAGATCATCCGCGACGTCGTTCGGGAGGAGATCAGGAAGGTGCTGTCCACTACCGATCGCCCTGCCTCGCTTTCCATGACCGAAGTACTGTGAGAGGAGGTGCAGCGAGCCCTCCAGCCGGAGGCTCCCGTCAACCTGCCACCAGCGGAACAACCGACGGTGAGCTACGCCGCCATGGCCCGACGACCGCCACCTGCCGCCCGTCAACCTCCTGCACTACGAAGGCAGGACGCACCAGCACAGCCCTACCCCCGACGTCTAGACGATCAACTTCAGTACGTCCGGCAAGAACAACCGACCCCAAGAAGACCGACGTGCGGCGAAGGGGCCAATCGACGCCCGCTGTGCTACCACTGCGGTGAAGCGGACCACGTCTACCGTCGGTGAGCTAGGCCTGCCGCCAGCTGGGCCGACGAGGGTTTGCGCCCAACGACCCTCGACCACGTTTTGGAGAGCGACCTCGGGACATCGAGGACTACCTCCGCCGCTCTTCCTCTCCTGAGTTGTCTGTGCGCCAAGGATTCCGTTCGCCGTCTCCCCGACGCTCGCCATCGCCCTTCCGCGGCCTCGCCGAGACAGCCTGTCACCCATCGCTTGCCGTCGGGAAAACTAGGCGCGGCAATGCCAGGAGGTGGTGTTGCTGAAGACAAACGATGCCAGGATCCTCCAAGATCATCAGAGCTCTCCCACTCTAACGCCGCAACGCCCCGAAACGACGTATCTGCAATAATGTCGAATAACCTCAACGTTATCATCGACGGCCACGACGCGATGGCACTCGTCGGCACCGGAGCGGACTACTCCGTTTTGAGTGGGAGGCTCTCTCGTCGCCTTCGGAAAGTTACGACGTCGTAGGACCGCAGATACGAACCGCCGACGGACATCTCATCACACCTGTCGGCAGACGCACTGCTCGCGTTGAGATCCACGGTGAAACCTACCCCGTAAAGTTCGTTGTTCTGCAAGACTGTTCGAGGGACGTCATTCTCGGAATGGACTTCCTGTGTGAATACGGCGCCACCACCGACCTCGCAGAAAACAAGCTGACGCTTCGGAAACCTGTTCCATTGGCGGAAGATCCCAAAGCGACGTTAGCTGCAGTCCGAGCCCTTACCAGCCATGTAAACCTGCCGCCGCTGTCAAGTGTTTTTGTGCCCGTCAGGACCGAAAAAGCCACCTGCGATGTAGCACCCTGGGAAGGAAGCGTCAAACTTCTCCTTGGACGAGGGATTGGCATTGCAAGAGACGTAACCGAGCTCCAGGATGGGCGCACCGTAGCTTTTATTGTTACCAACTTCTGGCGAGAGTCGAAGCACCTTACAAAGGGTAGAGCTGTGGGCTACGTCGAGAAAATTTAGGACTCAGCCGCGATCTCCGTGATCTCAAAAAACGCCTCTCCGACGCAACACAAGAAAACCACGCCGTCAGAGCTCGATATCAGCCCGTCCCTCTCAGCCCCTGACGTTCTCGCTGAGTTCAGTGAGTGCTTCGCCACATTGTCAAGGCTACGCCAAACAGCGGTTGCGAAGCATCGAATTGTTAGTGACGATGACGTGCCCCGTATTCATCAGTCGTCGTACTGAGTTTTGGTGACAGAGGGAGAAGTCATCCAGAGGCAGGTTCAAGAAATGCGTGACGACGACATCGTCCAGCCCTTAAACAGTCCGTGGGCTTCATCGGTAGTCCCGGTGAAAAAAAAACGGACTCTTCGGTTCTGAGTGGACTATCCTCGATTGAACGCCGTAACAAAAAGGAAGTCTACCCACAACCACGCATTGACGACACTCTGGACCGGTTGCGACACGCCCGATACTTTTCATCGATGGACCTGAAGAGTTGGTACTGGCAGATCGAGTTCGACGAACGGGATTGTGAGAAGACTGCTTTCATCACGGCGGACGGACTGTACGAATTACGAATTTAAAGTGATGCCGTTCAGACTGTGCACAGCACTGGCGACGTTCCAGCGCATAAGGGACACCGTTCTTTCCGGCTTGAAATGGCAAAGCTGTCTCGTCTATCTCGACGGCGTGATGGTATTCGCAAGCGACTCTGACGAGCACCTGAGACGTTTGCGAGCAGCGCTACAGGCTATCCAGAATGCTGGGCTGACACTAAAGCCGTCAATATGTCGGTTCGCTTACGGCAATCCCAAATTCCTGGGCCGTGTCGCGACTGCTCAGGGTGTAAGCCTTGACCCTGCAAAAACATCCGCTGTCGCCGAATTTCCGAAGCCATCAGACAAGAAACTTTGTACGAAGCTTCTTTGGGGTGTGCGCTTACTACAGACTTTTCGTTCACGATTTTGCCAAGATTTCAGTACCGCTTACGCATCTGACGAAGGACGACGTCAACTTCCAGGGGGGGGGGGGGGGGAAGGAACAAGAATAAACGTTCAACGATCTGAAGAAAAGACTCCCGTCGCTTCCCATTGTCGGACACTTCGATTTATCAGCGGAAACGGAAGTTCACAAGTACGCCAGCAACGCCGGACTCGACGCCGTACT